GGGTAGGGCCTCCAGTCATGTATCTCATGTATCTTAAACTTGTTGACCGGAGTCCTCTTTCACAAGTGTGAAGTGTGCCAGAAGTGTAATGCATCTTAAAGCCCAGGGTTATAATTGCTATAGTACCACCTTTTTAACTTCCTTATGTTCCTAGTACTGAGGTACTGAATGATGCTTGTGCATTCTTTACAGTGCTAATATGCCAAGAATTCTTTATTCATCCACCCCCTCTCTCTAGAAGGCTAGCCTGGGCTTCTTTCCATCGTGGCTTGGGGTACCAGACCAGCAGGGAAAAAGTTGTGCCTTTTAGAGAAGTCTTTCCCTAAGTCTCAGCCTAGTGTAGGATCCTCACCCATGTAGTTCAGGGAAGCTATAGTTGTATAAAAATTTTCTCTACACTACCATGCAAGATAGCTTTGCTTTTTTATGCTTCTATTTCTGCCACATTCTCTTTTAACCCATACTATTACGATGTAGTGTAGTTTATTTGTTTTTTCAATTGCTTGATTATGTGAAGCTTGCTTTTTCTCCCTATAGAAAAGGTTCATGGGAATAATATTTTCTGAGACATCTCAGAAGGTTTTAGAAAATGTAGTTCATCACCATTATTAAGTTGCTCCTTTAGAGAAAAGCAACTGTGAGGTTATTTTCCTGTTCTTTGTTAAATACATTCTTCTAGGTTTGAGTCTACAGAGCTTTTGTGCATGCTTCTTCTCAACACATTTTCATTCAGAATTGTACTTGGGAAAGACAAGTGATAGGTAAAGAATATAAAGACAATGGATTTCCTCACATTTATATCTTAATGTCAAGAGAAGTTTGAAAACTTTGACATCAGACCACCACCACTCTTTTTTGAGACAGGGTTTCTCTTTGTATCTGTGGATATTCTGGGACACACTCTGTAGACCAGGGTGGCCTCAAATCACAGAAAACCAACTGTCCCTGCCTCCTAAATGCTGGGATTAAAGCTTGACCACCGAAGATAGTTTCCTCTACTTTTGTGAGCATGAAGGAACACACAGACAAAATAAAAAGTCAGGTGATTCATTTCAATGAAACAAGCTTCCAGATGACAAGTTAATCACTGTCTTAGTGTATATGACATCATCCTTTAATTTGGATTTGCCTGTAGTTTAACAAGTACAGGTTTAAAGGCAAGGCATGGTGGCACATGTCCTTAACCCCAGCACCTGAGAGACAGGCAGAATTCTATGAGTTCTATATATCTCTGAGTCTAGGTCAGCCTTAACTACATAATGTGTTCCAGAATAGCTAAGGCTATGTAGAGACTTGGTCTCAGAAAATCCAAAATAAAGCAAAACAAAAACAGCAACAACAAAAATAGCAGGTTTAAGTTGACAGTGGTGGCACACATCTTTGATTCCAGCACTCCAGAGGCAGAGGCAGAGGCAGAGGCAGGCGGATCTATGTGAGTTTGAGCCTGAAAGAGCTAGTTCCAGGACAGGCTCCAAAGCTACACAGAGAAACCCCCTCTCAAAAAAAAAAAAAACAACCAGCCAATCAACCAACCAAACAAAAACAAAACAACTACCACCACCAAAACAAAACAGGCTTAAGGGCAAAGACTAATGATACAAAAACAGTATTAAAAACTTTTCTTCAGTGCCTATGGCTACTGTATTGTTAATGAAGAAAACATAGAATAAAATATCGGTTGCATTAAAAAAAATACCCTCTATGTACACTCTTTTTATAGCCCTGCTAATTTCCATAGAACTCCGATTCTATTCTCAAGCAGTAAATTCAGAGCTTAGGGGGAATCCATTCCATCGTTTATCATCAATGAAACACACTTTGGGCCTGCAACAAGAACCACAGAAATGCACCCTGACCCTGAAACCAGTGCCAAAGAAACACACTTTGTCCCTGGAATCAGAGCCAGAGAAAGAAATTCACCCTGGCTCTAAAATTAGAGCCAAAAGGCTGAAAAAGGACCAGTGAAAGAGACACACCTTGGCTCTGAAACCTAGCCATATCTGACCCTAAACCTATGCAGAAAACCAACCAATCCTTGGACAGGAAATCTAACCAATCCCCATCCTGGAAAAATCCCTATATAAAACCCTGAGTTCAGCTTGTGACTGTTTGGGCAGAGGACAGCCATTCTCCTGGATTCTTCCCTCCATTAAATCTCTTGAATGAGGTTTCGGTGAGACCTTCCTTTGCTTGAGCAGAGTTGACCCTGGGCGGAGCAGAGCAGAGTACAGCAGGGATGTAACATTTTTTTTTCCAGGAAACCTTCTTTTGATTAAGCAAAATTGTTACACTCTGGTCTCTGGCAGACTGGAGCCAAAGTGTAACAGCTGTAACAACTTCACCAACTTCACCACAACCAGCTGAGATGATACACCCGCAGCAGGGCTGTAAGCTGCTATGCTTGACTCCGCAGTGCCAGAATACCTTTCCATCTGAGCTGTAACACTCAGTATTCTGTGACTCCCGAGTGCCAGAGTCCATCCCTGTTCAATTCCATCTGAGCCGTCAAAATGCTTACAGTTTCTGCAGTCTTAACTATGAACACAGTTACCTTCCAATGACTCTAAGGTGCCTCCCTTCAGCCTTTAGTCATTAATGCTCGTTCACACCCCTGTAATAACCTGCCCATTAACAGATCAGTCCTAAAAAGAGTATTTTCCATACAACTCTGGCCATTCCTCAGGGTCATCTTTCCTAGCAGCACCCTGGTTCTCACACGACATAACAATTCCACTATCCACCTCTATAATTAATGTATGTCTGTCAATGTCCCTCTTGCAAGTGAACTTCAGGCTGATCCCTAGAACAATTCGCGATATTAAGGGAAAATAGATTCTTGCTCAAACTGTGAAGGAAGCAAGTCACTTAAATCGGATTCTTAAAAAGTGTAATAAAAATAATTTCCAGAGCAGCAATCAGAATCGGCAACGTGCACCCCCTCGCCACACTAGACCCTGGGACAGTAACCTTCCACCTTCTGGCTGGCGCAGACCAACATCAAATCCGGGCCAAACCAGTGGGAAAACGGAAGCTAACATCCACTTCCGGGTCACGATCCGAAGCCTCCACAGAATTGTCGCGGCTTTGCGGGGCTCTCCCCCAGGCCACGCACGAGTGAGGGGCGGGGCTGCTCATGCGCGCTACCGGAATGCCAACTCGGCTGGTGATGCGCAAGCTCGCAGGAGGCGCTCGCCGGCGACTTCCGGGGAGGGTTTTTCGTGGCGGCCGGCAGCGTGCACACGGGCTGAGTGTGGACTGCGCTGCAGCCACCCGCGGGGCCGGTTCTCCTTCCTCCGCTCCCAGTGGAGTTGGGAGAGGTATGGGAGCGCCCCGCTTTTCCCTTCCTCTCTTTGCCCTTGACTTTCTGTAATCTTGGGTTCTGGAAAAGTCACTTACGGGGCACTGTGAGAAGTTTTGGTTACCGTGGCAACCGCCACCGCAGCGGGTTTGAGGACTTGGGGAGGATTTGCGTAGGTCTCTCCGCACGTGGTGGGTCGATTTCACGATCAGGTGTGATTCCATGCTGTTGGGCCGAACCGTCAAGATGGGCTTTCGTTAAAAGGCTCAATCTGGATTGAAGGCGAAGAAGCAATGTTTGAGGCAGCTCTTGTGAGAGGAACAGGCGAGTAATAGCGGTAACCGTCCGTCCACCCAGGTGGATTCGATCCTGTGAGTTATCCACTGACCTCCACACGGCGCGGTGGCTTACCCCGCACAATAAATAAAATGAACTAAAGGAAGAAATCGTTTGTCAGTCAGCAGGCACAAGACCCCGGGTTCCATCTCCTGCGACGCAGGAAACAAGCAAGCAAGGAAGGAAGGAAAAGCAACGCCAGTGCATTAGTTCCAGACAAGTCTGAAGGTGTGCAGAAAAGGGTAGTGCTGTAGGATTGCAAAAAGGAGGGACATTTGGTGGAATTCTGAATCGTAGTACCAGAAGCTTCAGTACTGGATAGGTGCACAGATCAGGGATCTTGAGCATTTTGACAGTTAAATGCAAGCACAATGGCATATGGTTTCTTTTGTAGAGTCGTTTATTTGCCATGGGCCCCTGCCCACCTCCTAATCATTTTTATCACACCAGCTAGTCTGTGTGCTCTGCATTTCTTAGACTCTTGTCTTCACTTCTTTTGGTCAAGTTACAAATTTTGTCTAAGTCCTACAGGTTTTCTTTTGATTTTTTTTTTTTTTTCCTAGACAGGGTTTCTCAGTGTAGCTTTGAGGTCAGTCCTGGAACTCGCTCTATAGACCAGCTGGCTTCAAACTCATAGATCCACCTGCCTCTGCCTCCCAAGTACAGTGACCAAAGGTTTGGGCCACCATTGCCCAGCAAGTCCTACAGTTTTCATTCCTAACTGGGAGAAAATAAGGTCCTGTTGTGATTAAATTAGGTGATTTATAGGCTAAGTATGTAGTTGAGTCCTGGTAAGTATTAGCTACTGCTATTATTGTACTTGTTGTATTATGCATTCTTCAATTTCTTTCTGTAGCTTTAGGTTTTTACTTTGTAATTAAGGATGTCTGGTTTCTTGTATGTTCTTGATTCATAGTTTTACAGTGTTATTTTTATAGATTTTATTCATAGCTTTACAGTATTTATTTTTTTATGGATTTTAAAAACGATTTTTATTTTGTGAGCATGCATGTGAACTGTTATTTTATGAGCATGCATGTGAACTGTTGAGAAGGTCATTGGATGCCCTGGGGCTAGAGTTCCAGAGGATCATGAATTGTTACATGGGTGCTGGGAACCAAACACAGGTCCTCTAGAAAAGCAGCAAGTGCTCTTCATTGCAGAGACATTGCTGGTCCCCCCCCCCTTTAAAAAAAAAAAAAAAGTGGATTTTCAGTTTGGGCTGCTGTTGACTTAAACAGATTCAACGATTCAACATTTACTTGAACTGTCAGATACAATGGGTCATGCTGCTCAGGTGATATTTGCTAGTAGAAAAGATGGCTACTTTTCTGCTCAAGTCAGTTGCCTGCAGATTAACTAATGTACTGAAGCTAACTGATACTCTCAGTTTGGAATAGATATGAGCGATTTTGGTGAAGAATTGACAAAGCTTGCCGAGGGAGAGGATGGCAAGAGGGAATCATCCGTGTTATCTAATCCAGGAATGCATTGCCCATGGCTTCAGGAGCGCATAGAAACTGTAGGTAAGTGGGACTATGTCAAAGCCTTTCACTTTATTGCAAGGAAGTGCTGAGGCCGAACACTGCTACAAAACGAATAACCAAGCCAGACCACTCTTCCTCCCCCATCATTCCATTTTATTTGTTGTTTTTGTTAAGACAGGGTCTTGCTGTTTATCCCTGGCTGGCCTGGAACTCACTTAGTATAGCTTAGGCTGGTCTAGGACTCATGGTTGGTCTTTCCTCAGCCTCCAAGTGCTGGTGTTACAGGTGTGACCCATGATGCCTAATAATCTTACTAAGTTTAGATGGGGGTCTCCCTTTTCTTATAGCTGGAGATAAAAAGGAAATTAGAAGAAATCAGTTCTTGTTTATTTATTTTTTAGATTTTTTTTTGCATTTAAACTAATACAGTCTGTATTGTGATATATATGAATATATATATAATTTATATATATTTATATATTTATTTATATATATATATATATATTTATATATATATTTTAGTTCTCTTTACAGAACACTTGTATTTTTGGCATTGGCAGAGTATTGGGACTTACAGATGAAGAAAATCTGGTCTCATTGAGGAGCACATACATAGGAAATGTTAAGGAAATTTATTTCTGTTGGGTTTGATGGAAGTAATTCCTTTTAGCATTGATGTGGTAGGTTTAAAAGGCATCTTTCTTCATTCTTATTCTAATGTAGATGCAGATAAGGTTTTTAGTGGGTTAACTTTAGGGCTATGTGAAGAAGCAGCAGTCCGCATGCTGCATGTGCCAGACCTTTAGATGCACTCACACCAGCACTTTTCTTACTGCTCTTGAAGCTCTTCTTGGCTCCTAGAATTTAGCTTCCACTTAAAGAGAAAAATTCATTTAATTTTATATTCTCAGAAAGTTAGTCCTCAGTAAATGGTGTGCGCTAGTGTTTTTCATGTGAGGACACTGAATTGCAAAGAAATTAAACTCTTAAGTAATGATATAAGGAAGCAAATCGGGTCTGCCTGATCTCAGATCCTATACTTTTAACCATAGAGAGGTAGATGGAGCTTGGCCTGAGAGCAGTCTTCCATTAGGTGAATGAAGGCTGTTTTGTTTTTGGTTTTTCAAGAGAGAGGGTTTCTCTGTGGCTTTAGAGGCTGTCACAGAGATCTGCCTGCCTCTGCTTCCTGAGTGCTGGGATTAATGGCATGCACCACCACAGCCAGGCTGATGAAGGCTATTTGAACAAATATATTGCCAGTTTTGTGGGCTAGTTGTCTGGGATTGTTGTGATCTAAGCAGCTTGTGTAGTTCTTACTAAATGCAGTGCCTGCTACAGAGAGCCAGCCGAGTCATAGGAGGCTTGCTCCCCCACTCTACTCTTTCTCTCCTTCTCTCTCCTCCCCTCTCTGCCCCTCCCTTTCTCTTTTTCTTTTCTGTTTCTAATTAACTTTCAGATAATTGCAGTACTGCTGGTGTCAGGATCATGTGAGTACTGAGGCTATGGATCCTGGTGTTTGGAGTGCGCATTAAATGGTCTATGCTATCGTCTTCTTACCTTTCCAGCCCTCAGGATAGGGTCTTGCCGATCAGCCTTACTAGCCTAGAACTTGCTACACAGAGCAGGTTGGCCTCAAACTTTGAGTAATCCTCCTGCCTTTGTCTTCTGATTGCTGGAGTGATAGATGTGCACCACCATGTCCTGCTGAGGAGCTATAGTCTTTATCATGTTTCTAATATACATGTCTCTTATGAACTATGTTCTGTGTACTGACAGTCTTGACAGTCTTAAGGTGTCATATAAATTGTTTTGTGAGTTTAATAGTTGCAAGTGAAAAATTTTCACCTCATGGATTTTTAAAATGGAATTATGTTACTTTTAAAATAGATTTGTTGACAACTAAATCATATAGAAATGTAATATATTGTTGCTGATTTTAAAATAGTAACAGATGAGTAAAATAGCTTTTAGTAGATGGGAGTTTTGGAATATACTTTTTTATAGACTGTCTATATCACTACATGTATGTATGCACACATATATACACACTCATAATGTTACTAGTGTCAAAGCAGGGTATAGTGGCACATGCCTTTAATCTTACCTTTTGCAGGATATTTGATCACACTGTGAACCCCCAAGATTGGGAAACCCTGTTTGTACTTGTGGTGGGGCTCAGCCTAAGCACACACTTTTAATCCAAGAGCTTTCTGCTTGAATATTGTAAACAGGATTCAGTAAAGTCAACCATAGTCAAGATGTAGAACAAGCAACCAGGTGACAGGAAGTGAACATAGGATTATTTAAAAAATATAGAAAGTAAGAGGATGAATAGAGAGATACACAGGAAGTAGAAGGGAGGGACAATGAGTTTGAGACAGTGTAGGGAAAGGGGGCTTCAGGGACGTTGGTGGAGAAGGAAGTGCAGCTGGATGATTTCTTTGCCTCTCAGAGATAGCCAACTGCCACTGAGTTCAGCCTCTGTCCTGGCTGTTTAATTTAAAAAAAAAATTATTGTGTGAAATTTATTTTGACCTTTATGTGAATGAGTATTTTTTTTCGTTCTTTATATTTTTCCTTCTTTTTTTCTCTTATGAATGAATATTTCTCTCTCTGTGTGTGTGTACTATGTATGTGGTACCCACGGAGGCCAAGAGAGACTGTTGAATCCCCTGGAGCTACTGACAGATGTGTGTTGCCTTGTGGCTGTGGGAACCATACCTCGTCTTCTGCTAGAGCAGCAAGTGCCATCTTTCCAGTCTCTAAGATTTTTATTTCTTATTGTGTATATATTTCTGTGTCCTTTAGTTTGTGGATGACGAGAGCCCAGAGCCAGAGATGGTTCTGCTTACATGTAACTCTAGCATGTGTGAGACCAGACAGAGAGAGTCCCAGGTCATACCTGGCTACATAGTGAGCCTGAAGTCAGCCTGGGCCATGTGAGTCCCAAGAAACCAGTAATAAAACAAACAAAAAAAAAAAAAAACAAAAAAAAAAAAAAAAAAAAAAAAAAAAAAAAAGAAAAGAAAGGAAGAAAAAAAGAAGACTGCTAGGATCTGTTAGAAGGAAAAAGGAGATACCAATATAACCTCTCTCGTTTATAATATTGTAACTAAGTCCATGTGCTGTTAACAAGGAGATTGTTAGTCCTTTACAGACCTAACTGATGCTAATGTTTACAGCTGAGTTACTGGAAACTTACTTCAGTAGAGTAACATTGGTGACTTTGACCTATTTTAAATACTGGAGCCTGTTCCTTTGGAAGGTTCTGTTCACATTACTTAGTAAAAGAACAACCAGTTTTAAAAGATATAGGGAGCCTGGTAGCACAAGGATATCTAGTATTTAGGATTAGATTTTATTTTGAGGCAGTTTCCTTATGTAGTTCAGTCTTTGGACTCAAAATTCTGCCTCAGCCGCTTGAGTGCTCAGATAAGTCATGTGACCGTGTGGCCAGCTTAGTTTATAGATTCTCTTTTGCATTTCTGTGTAAGCTAATTTCAAAGCATGGGAAGACGACTGAGTGTGCGGCAGCAGTGGCTGCTTGCGGAAGATCTGCCCAGGACTACCTGTCAGCATTGCGTCGTGGATTGGGAGACTGTTAAAACTAATATTGTATGGCAGTATTTGTTGTAAGATAGTGGGCTTGATTCTGGGTTAGGCTTCTCTTGTTAAAACTTGTGTTGATTGAGTTTTTTGATTAGCTGCACTGGAGTGGGTTGGGTAAGTAGTCTTCTATTGTTACAGTGACTGGAGGGAAGAAGAAGAGGGACTTTGCTCAGACGACAAGCACTTGTTTAAGCTTTATCCAAGAAGCTCTGCTGAAGCACCAGTGGCGGCAAGCTGCAGAGTACATGCACAGCTACTTACAGACCCTGGAAGACTCAGACACCTACAGGAGACAGGCTGCCCCCGAGGTAGGACAAGCGCACTGGGCACTGCGGGCTTGGTTCGAGCTCTACCCACAGTAGTCTTGTGTTTCTCCTGCCTCTGCTTCCTGAATACTGGGGTGATGATAGGTATGACACCACCATGCCAGGCTTATCCATTCCTTTTACTGTCAGTATTTCATCAAATGGAATACTCCATTTTATATATCCATTCATCAGTGGTTTCTCTCAACATTCATGTATGTTTTTCATGGTGCTTGCTTTAATTTCTCTTTGGTATATACTGATGAGTAGAATTGTAGGCTAAATAATTACACTATTTTTAATCTCTTAAGGTTTTACTAAATCCTTACCAAAGTGGCTTTTCCACTTTATATTTCTACCAGCGATATTTAATGTTGTGATTTTTTTCACATCCTTATTGATAATTTTTTATCTTATTTCATTCCATCCATCCATCCATCCATCCATCCATCCATCCATCCATCCATCCATCCATCTGAGACAGCCTTGATATGGAGATCATGTGGGCTCAGACTCAGGTTTACAGCACTCCTCTGTCTAAACCTCCTGAGGCTAAGAGGCATAAGCGACTATGCCTGTCATTTTTTGATGCTTGGAGTTGTGAAGTAGAATTGGCTTATGTTATGATTCACACTTCTCTGTTGACTAATGATGCAGATGGAGCTTCTCTAAATTCTAGTTGATTATGAGAGCACCAGTGCTTTCCATTTCCCTGGAACACCAGCCACGGCCCTCCGACTGCTGTAGACGTCCTTAGGATGAGCTCACTCTCCTCCTGATCGCCTGTCTTGTCCCATCTCTAACTTGGGTTTTCTTCCCTAGCCTCACTGCCCTTGCTTTTAATGGAACAGGTCAGGCATACTCCTTCACTTTGGCTCCCTTTACTTGGAAGGGTCTTTCTTCAGCTATTGCCGCCCTTTTGAAGTCAGTGTCTTCACTCTCATACCCATCCCTGCCCTGTTGTATAAAATGCCAGGTGTGGAGGTGCACACCTATAACCCCAGCAGAGAGAGAGGCAGAGGCAGCTTTTCCTTCCTTCCTTCCTTCTTTCTTTCTTTCTTTCTTTTTTTTTTTTGAGACACCTGATTTTATTAATCTAATCTAATTTGCTTTCTGAGAAAAGTGGAGCTCAAGTTCTGTCATCAAAATATGGCCTGAGAATATATATTTCATGAAAATTTGTCTTTTTTTGATACATATTCTTAGAGTGATATTTTAATTGCATAGCACATACACTTGGGTGAAAGTTCAGCGAGTGTGGACATGTCTACTATCTGCCCTTGGAGGGTTGAAGATGAGATTGAGCCCTGTAGGAACCCATTTCATACAGACTTTTAAGTTTATACTTCATGTGCACCCTAATTTAATAATGGCACTGCTATTCTTACCTGGGGTGGTGCTTTGAGTGAGGATGCCCCCAGACACTCTGGTTCCTGCTGGTGGCACGGTTGAGGGGGTTTGCTGGAAGAATTATGTCTGTCACTGGGCGTAGACTTTGGGAGTTTTAAAATCACACTCTTTCTAGATTGCTCTCTGCTTCATGCTTGCCATTCAAGATGTGAGCTTCTTGCTTCTGCCACCATGCCTTTGTGCAGCCCTCTTAGACTAACACTGGAACTGTGAGCCTAAGTACACTCTTCCTCCTGATTGTTGTGGTCATGGTCTTTATCACAGCAACAGACGCATCATCAATACACCAGAATTTCGAGATGTGATGATTATTGCCTAGTTACAAATGGTGGTGTACTAGGTGAAGTGTAGTGAAGTCTGGCAGGGGTGGTCTCCATGGAGAGGAAGGAGAAGTTGTTTTTAAATGTTATAATCAGGAGAAAATCTTGTAGGAAGAAACTAGATATGGTAAGGACTTACTCTTTTGCTGTTAATTTCTGCTTTGATAGATCATTTGGAAGCTTGGAAGCGAAATTCTATTTTATCATCCCAAAAGCAATGTGGAGACTTTTAATAACTTTGCTGACCGGATGAAAAATATTGGTGTCCTGAATTATTTAAAGGTGAGAATGTAGACTTGTAAATTTATATTTTCAATGTGTGTTTGTTTTAATTGCCTGTATCAATACTGAGATAGAAAATCATGGAAAATAGACCTGTGGGTAAAAGAGATGGGGAAAACGCTACTATGTGAGAACTTCTCTCTTCTGGTTTCCAGCCACCTTCCATGTGACTTGATTGGAAGCCTGTCCTCTGTCTAAGGCCCAGTCCTTCAGGGATTAGGCTGGACCTCACTGTGGACACAGCCAATCCTCACATGTTTGCTGAACTTACTTGAGCTGAGCTGGCATTTTGGGGGGGGAAAATCTGAAAAAAAAAAAAAAATAGGAACTTGAACATGTTGAAAAGCTGTAGTGTTCCTGCTGTTTGGATAGATCCTTTTCTCCGAATTCCCGTCTTGATAATAGTTTTTTGCAAAAGGGATTGAGACCACACCACAGTATTATAGCCCCTTCTTTACATATAGTCCTAACTAAAAGCACCATTCTTTAGTAAATTTATAAATAATTTGTTCTTAATTTTTTTCAAGACTATAAAGTTGTGTAAGAATTTGTCCATAAGTAGAGTAAACATGACAGAAACCATATGGCCTGTAAACATAAAATGTGCTTTCCTGGCTCTTAGTTTTGTTTTTACTTGTTTAAATCTCTCTCTCTCTCTCTCTCTCTCTCTCTCTCTCTCTCTCTCTCTCTCTCTGTGTGTGTGTGTGTGTGTGTGTGTATGTATGTATGTGTGTGTGTGTGTGTGTAAGTCTAGAGGTCTGATGTTGATACTGGAAGTCTTTTCTTGATCATCTCCACCTTACCTATTGAGGCAGGGTTTCTTGGAGACCTAGAGCTAATTGGTTCTGGCCAGCTAATCTGACTAGCCAGTTTGCTCTGGGATCCTGTTTTCACTTGTGCACTGGATTAGGCAGGCCCCTATGCCCACCCAACTTGTTTTGTGGGTTCTGGGAATCCAAAATGTGTCCTTATGCTTTCACAGCATAGTATAGTTTATCCACTGTATCATCTTGCTAGCCCTCTTTCTATCCCTCTTTCTTTCTTCCTCTCTCTCCCTCCCTTCCTTTCTTCTTCTTCTTCTTTTTTTTTTTTTCTTTGAGACAGGGCCTTGGTATAGCCCAGTCTAGTTTCCAGTTCACAGTGCCTCAGCCTTCCTGGCTCTGGGACGGTAGATGAGTGCCACCATGCCCAGCTACCATGGTTATTTTTACTTTTGTTTCAGGAACACTCTCCCTCTTAAACTAAATCCATTCTTCAGCACTCCTTGGCAGGGTGTTTTCTTTGAGCATATTTGACACCTATGAAGTTGTTAGGCTGTTGTTCACTGTGGGTCAAGCAGGCATAAGATTATGCCATTTAATCTTGAGTAGCCCCTTCTGAAGGATTACTGATAACTGGTGAAACATCCAGTGACTAACTAGTTCAGGCTTATAATGTGGCTTTTATGTCCAGTTTCCTCACTATGTTGCACTGTATTCTGTTACTCTCAATTACATAGTGTTGGTTGTTTCACATGCCTTTCTTTGCTTGATGAAAAAAAATGTAAATGATAGAGCATGGGCTATACCACTCTCTGAGCTTTCACTTTCTCTTTCTCCTCTCTTTCCACTCTCTCTCCTCTCTCCCTTTTTCTTTTCATTCATTTTTTTAAAGACAGGGTTCCTCTCTATATCCCTAGCTGTCCTGGAACTCACTCTGTAGACCATGCTGGCCTCGAACTCACAGAGATCCACCTGCCTCTGCCTCCCAAGAGCTGAGATTAGAGGCATGCACCAACACCGCCCAGTCAAGCTTTCACTTTTATTTGAAGGTTCATAGTTTTCAGGACTAAGCCAGCATATGTTATATCTTTCCTGAGTTTTCTGACTGATAGTTCTGAAATCAGTGACAGTGGGTGTTTCTTTATTGATGCAGATTTCCTTACAACATGCATTGTATCTTATACATCATGGAATGCTTGAGGATGCAAACAGAATTCTCAGTGATGCAGAGACATGGAGATATGGTGAAAAGTCATCCTCCCAGGAAGTGTTAATCAACCTTGTTCAGGCCTACAAAGGGCTTTTACAGTACTATACTTGGTCCAGAAAGAAGATGGAACTGTCAGAGATTGGTGAGTTGGCACAGTCAGCTTTCTTATGGTGAAGGAAAGGCAGAGCAGCATGGCTCACACAGATCACTGAGCTCATCCAGACGTAATAGAAAAAGCATTGCTCTTGGGAGGCTGAGGCTATCTTGAGTTTGAGGTCAGGGTGGGTTATATTATAAGATCCTGTCTCAAAAATTCAAGCAAGCAAACAGAAACTGTTTACTGGTATGCATTGATTAGGTGAGTTTTAAAGTTGTTATTTACTTTTCTTCTTACATGTGGTCCTAGAACCGGAGCAAGTTAATTTATGACTAGATTGTGGTGTTTACCACTCTTGGATAAATAACATCTTACTTCATTTTGCATGCAGTGGATGACCTTTTTGTAGTAAGATTGAGGGAGGAGTAATGGTAGAGGGAGGAGTTCAGAAGATCTTTAACGTTACTTGTCTTCAATGAAGAAAACAAACCCAAAAACATTTCTACTCATAATAATAGATGGTTTGAGTTAATGACTGTTTTAGAGTCATTGCTATTTTAATGTAATTTTACCATGGTAACCATAGATAAGATGAAGTGGTGGCAAGCCTGTAATCCCAGTACTTGGGAGGTAGAGGCAGGTGGATCTCTGAGTCTGAGGTCAGTCTGGTCTACATAGTAAGTTCCAGGATATCCAGGGAGAGAGTGAAATGCTGTCTTTGAAAAAAAGACACCGGTGGGGGTGGTGAAAACAGCTCTTTGCCAACCTCCTTTGGATGCTACCTGTGGACCTGCACATGCTGCAGCTGTGCCTTTGTCTAAAGTTTGATGAGCTCCGTGATTGATGACTCCTTCCTTCGTAATGCTTAGGGATCTTTTTGTTTTTTTCTTATAGCATTTCCCACCTCATTAATCATCTTTGTTGGTCTCGTTTCTAAGCATAAATAAACCAAATAAACCCTTCCTCCCGACTTGCTTTGGACATGGTGTTTCATCCTAGCAATAGTCATCCTGTCTAAGACAATTTTCTTCTGCCTTTATTTATATTTTCCCCACATAAACAACTATAATGATGCAGGTAATCTTATAAATAGTCTAAAAGAATTACAAGTCTAAACTCATATATGAAAACCAATCATCTCTACTTTAAAGCCTCAGGGTGGATGCCTACTCATCAAACAGCATTTTTATTAAATTATATCAGGAAGTTGAGGGCAGAAATGGGTACAAGGAATTACTCGTTGCCTTTTATCATCAACACATCCTAGCCAGCATTTGTTTTTGTTCCCTGACTTAAGAGTCCTAGATCAACAATTAAAGGTGTGTCTTTTTTAAGCTTTAAGTTGTTCCCCAAGATTTTCTACCTCAAAACCATTAACAAAAACATCTTAACCTAACTCTACTAATAATCCACATGTCTAAATTCTTTTTAAGGGTGGTGGTTGAGTCATTAATCTGTTCCAGCAGCAATGCTTGGAAAAAGTCAATGACTGTTATTGTATGAGTAACACTGCCTAGTGAAGGGCCAGAACCCCCTCTGAGTTTTCACACAGCCCCTAGATTATGAGGAACGCAATAAATGGACCTAGGCTCAATAGCAGCGTGAGGTCAGTATTTCTCTTTTAGACTTCTCACAGATCAAGAGCCTTTCATTTATAACTGTTTACATGGGCTAAATAGTTTTTATAATTGCCAGAAAAAACAGGTTATTAGTTTCACTTTTCATAATTTAGAATCGGCCTTTTTTGGGGGCTGGGTGGTGTTGGAGATATGGTTTCTCTGTGTAGCCCTAGCTATCCTGGCACTAGCTTCTGTAAATCAGGCTGGCTTTGCACTCAGAGAGATCCACTTGCCTCTGCCTCCTCAGTGCTAAGAATAAAGGTGTGCTCACCACTGCCCGGCTCCAGTTAACTAACCATCCAATTCTTTGTTTTGTTTTCTTTTTCTTTTTTCTTTTTTTTTTTTCTTCTCTATATTGCTTTGGAGCCTGTTCTGGAACTAGCTCTGTAGACCACCAAGCTGGCCTCAAACTCACAGAGTTCCGCCTGCCTTTGCTGGGATTAAAGGTGTTGTGGGCCACCAATGCCTGGCTAATTCTTTCTTTTGTTACATGAAGTCATTATTTAAAGCTTTTTTTTTTTTTTCTTAAGCTCTGATGCACACAAAACCTGTGAACACATTTCCCAACATCAAGATTAAAAACTTGAGCTAGCCTAACTCTTGCGACTCAATTGTTTTCCTTAATCTTTAACCTAAACCATAGTCTATAACAATCCTCAAGTAAAACTCCTAAATCTTAGCTGTGTGACATTCCTTGTTCCTATTTTCTACCCTTTGCAGCTCCAGCTTTATTATGGGCAGGGGGCAGCACTCTATCCAACCTTTACCTATATTAATTTTCCCACTAACCTAACCTCTATCACAGTCCCTTACTATGGTTGTTAAAAACCCTTAATCATCAAAATTCTATTTAAGCTAACACTATTACTATATAAAATCATTACTTCAGTTAAATAGTACAACTTAAGAGGAAATCATCTTTAAAATAATCCACAGATAAAAATGTCCAGTAGAACAGGGTATTTTCATGAGAGAATCACATTACATTGAAATGAGGTGTGGATCCCCCCACACCCATTTACACCATACTAGATAACAGAGAAAAATGGCATTGGCACACATTTAAAAGGCATAGCAGAAGCAAAAGACATTCTGTAGTCGAAGCCCTTGGGGCCTTGCCTATCTGGGATTCACCCATCAGTGCCTTGCCTTCTGGTGAACCAAACTCCTGAAGCTCAGTTGCCATCTGCTGGTTCTCTGACGTAGCCACTGGCAGAAATGCTTGCAGAGTTCAGGTCTACAACGATGTCCACTATAAAAGCCTTACTGTTTTAATCCTTATATTTAGATGTCTAATCCATTTTGAATTTTGTTTTGTTTTTGTATATGATACAAGATAGGTAACAATCTACTCTTGTTTTGTTTGTGGCTGTCCATATGAAAACTGTTCCTTTCAGCTGGGTGGTAGTAGCACACACCTTTAATCCCAGCACTTGGGAGGCAGAGGCAGGTGGATGCATCTTTGTGAAGATCAGGCTAGCTTAGTCTACAGAGTGAGTTTCAGGATAGTCAGAGCTGTTAACACAAAGAAACCCTGTCTCCTGGTCAGGGGTGAGGGGAGTGTTTATTAAATTTATCTTGTGAACTATACTGAAAATCAGTTGCTTATAATCATGAAAGGTTATTTCAGGGCTCTGAGTTCTTTCGTGCATTGTCTGTGATTGTCTATGTATATTAGTCCCGATGTCTATATCATACAGTTTTGATTACTATACATTGTGATAAGTTTGGGAGTGATGGTATGCTTGCTCCAGCCTTGCTCTTTTTAATCTTTTTAAAGATTGTTTAGACTTTACTCATTCCATTGTCTGTTATGAACTGTAAAATCATTCATACCAGTTTGTCAGCCTATGCAGTGGCCATTGGGATTTTGATAGGGATTATAGAATTTTAGATGAATTTAGCAGTAGTAGTTTTCTATTCTATAAACATGAGGTGACTTGTAAAGTTTTAAAACAACTTTACTTTTCAGAGTATAATTTTTCATCTTTATAAATGTATACCTAGTATTACCTTTGTTGTTCTTTCAGTGTGTATATGTGAGCATATGAGTGTGCACTTGTGTTCAGGTGTGTATGATTGTTGGGAATATGGGAATTTGGAGACCAGAGGTCAGTCAACCTTGATTGTCATTCTTAGGAGCTGTCCCCTATGTTTTTTGAGACAGGGCCTCTATGTAGCCTTGACTGTCTGGAAATCACCATGTAGACCAGGCTGGTTTTGGAACTCCTTCTGCCTCTGCCTCCCAAGTGCTGGGATTTAAGGTGGGCACCACCATTCTCCATCATAAACTGTTGTTGTGTATTAGTTTTATACCCTGCAATCTTAATGAATTGTTAATGCTTATAAAGTTTTTAAAAATCAAATTAATGTATATTGTCTGCATGTGTACCTGCGCCCCATACATTTCTGGTGCTTGCAGAAGCCAGAAGAGGACATCAGATCCCCCAGGACTAGCTATATAGATGGTTGTGAGTAACATATGGGTGCTAGGAATCATACCCTGGTCCTGTAAGAGCAGATAGTGCTTGTAACCATTGGACAGTCTCCACCCACCTAGCTCTTATGAGTTTTTAATGGATTTTTCTTTAGGCTTCCTGTATACCAGGGTCATGTCATCTGAATAGAGATAATTTTTCTTCCTTTTCAGTCTAGGAGTTGCTGCGTTTCCCTGTTTCATTGTCCTAATAAAAATTAGTGTACTGAGCAGAAGTCGAGAGAGGGGATGCCTTGTCTTTTCCTCAGATTTCATCAAGGTTGTTAGCTGTTTTTTAATTGAATTTAAATTTAAAAATTGAGATTGAATGAGTCCTTCTGTTCATAGATTGGTGACTTTTTAATGACAGAGTTCTTGAACTTTGTCAAATCTTTTTCTGCCTGTGTTGAGATGCTCATGCATAGATATTTTTAGAATGTGGGTCTTTATTGCTTGTATTAGTTGATAGGTGTATATTTGCTTTTTAGAGGTAGCTAGACTAAATTCCCCAATACCCTGTTGGGGAGTTGGCCATGCTACCTTTACACGTACTTGTTAGTGTTTATCAGCATCCACCCAGGCCTGAGTGTTGCTTATGGTTTCTCTAAATGATGCACAAATCTCTTATGTTTGAGCAGATAAGGATGATTATGCCTACACCGCAAAAACCCGAAACATGCTCAGCCAGAGCTGCAGGACGTCCACAAATATCTGTGCACTGCTAAAAACTCCTGGGGTTTGGGATCCTTTTGTGAAGAGTTACGTGGAGGTGAGTCACTCTTCATGGACCAGGTGATGCACTTGTCCCAGTACTGAGAAGGCAGAGGTAGGAGTGCTGCCAGTGTGAGGCCAGCCTGAGGTATGTAGTGAGCTCTAGGCTAGCCTGGGCTACATTTGTAGTACAACTCTGTCTCAAGAACAAAAGTACAAGAGTGTATTAATTTGATTTTTGTCATATGATTGGAAGGAGGTTAATAGAGAAAAATGTGTAAAATTTTCTTTTTTTTGGTCTAAATTTGTTACTATGCTATTTAAGTTAGTCCGTCATGGCCAGATACCTTTGTGCATAGTGATATAATTATAATTGGCAAGTCTGCATTTTTGTTATTGAACATAATGTAAAACCTGGATAATTGCTAAAAGATATGGTTGCTTATAGAAGGAAAGTGGGAAAAAACTGAGCCAAAATCACAACATAAGGAATGAGGAAAACAATGGCTTTTAGAAAGTTTATTAAACTAGCTACCCCACTATCTCAGAGTTCTTGCAGAAGAACTGAGGGCTTGGACTCTGCTTGGGGAAAATTTGAATGCTAAAGTGGCCATTTTGTTTTCAGAAGAGAAATCTAGTTCATCTGTGAATTGCTTCAGAGATAGGAACTGCAATTATGTACTCCTTAGGGCTGAAGTTATGAGGGCCGCTGAGATAGTTGAGTCACACTTGGTCATTAGTGTTGTCTACTTTGGGGACTTGTGTTTCTTGTAGGAACCGTTATTACAGTGGGGATGGGTGGGGGGTCTACGTTTTCCAGTAACAAATTCAAGGAGTAAATGAGGTCACATAGTGCCCTTTGCTCCTGTTTTGTAGAAGTTGTAGGAATGCTAGAAAAGCAGAATTGGTGTCGCTCTTGTCTATTACACAGTGTTTGTCACTTTTGTCATTTTTGTTGTTGTTCCTGTGTTCTTAGCAGTAAGCTTTTATCTTTTTATGGAATGTTACAGAATTAATCTAAGATATACTTTATTTTATACAGATGCTAGAATTCTATGGGGATCATGATGGAGCCCGAGAGATACTCACCAATTATGCGTATGATGAAAAGTTTCCCGCAAACCCCAATGCCCACATCTACTTATATGAATTTCTCAAGAGAGAGAAGGCACCAAGAGCAAAACTGATAAGTGTTCTTAAGGTATAAAAATTTCCCCAGTATTTTAATTTTTTTCTTTATTTTATGTGTATGGGTGTTTTGAATGTCTGTATATCACAATCATGCAGTGCTTCTGGAGGTCAGAAAAAAGTGTTGGATCCTCCTGCGACGGGAGTTACAGATGTTTGTGAGCTGCATGTGCTCTTAACTGAGCCATCTCTAAGCCCCTCCACTTTTTTTTTTTTTTTTTTTTTTTTTTTTTAAACAGGGTCTTTCTCTGAAGTGAAAGCTCACCATCAGGCTAGGTTGGGAGGACAGCGAGCTCCCAGGGTCCTCCTGTTTCTCTCCAGTGCTGGGATTGCAGGTGCATGGTGCATACCTTGCTTTTTGTGTGGTGCTGAGGATTCGAACTGAAGTCCTTGTGCTTGCATAGTGAGCACTTCACCCACTGAACTGCCTCCTGGAATTTTGTTTTCTAAAATAACTTTTCAGAGGATACCTTCTTATATTCAGATTGAAACTGAATCAAAGTTCTTAATTCATTTGCTGAGAGCATGTTAGCCAGTAAGAATTTTACATAAAAGTAAGCTAGAATTTGAGAAATGTCTGTCTGTATAGGGTGTAAATTATAGCACTATTTTCTCTTTCAGATTTTGCATGAGATTGTGCCATCCCATCCACTAATGTTAGAATTCCATACATTGCTTAGAAAATCAGGTAAAACTGTATTTTATACTCATTTGTGTATATAGACTAGATGGAGGACCAGCCATCTATGACCCAGGGTCCACACCTACTCACCACCTGTTTTCACAAGCTAAATCCTCTTGCACCCCACTCCCTCCTGGAGTGCTTTTGCTTTGTGACTGTAGAGCCTGTAGCTGCAGTGGAGATTCCACTTAAGCTTAAAACTTAAAATGCTTTTTGTCAGGTCCTAGCGGAGACACTTTGGAAGTAGGAGGACAGAATGCCTTTCACTTCTACAATTTGCCTCCGTTAACGCCTTGAGGGCTGCAATGCAGTATAGTAAAGAATGTCTGTCTTAGAAGACAGCTTGTTTGAGACAGTTGCTACAAAGTCTGTAGGTTTAACCTATGTGTACCAAAAATGCCAAACAGGGTAGGTGGTATTTAGAGGGGTCTAACTTCAGAAGAGGCTCACTGTCTTACGTCATTAACTGTCACCTATCGCAGGACAGTGAGCATAATGACTTGTTTTAAAGTTAACTAACCAGATGGCTTGCAGTTAACAGTGCTTCATTAACTTGGTGTCTCTTCTTAGCTCTGTGCACTTCTCCAGTACTTTCTGTAAGTTTGGGCTTTTGTGACTGTTGCAGACACAGAGGAACACCGGAAGCTTGGCTTGGGTGTGTTATTTGAAGTCCTTGATTTTGCTGGATGCTCTAAGAACATAACTGCTTGGAAATACTTGGCAAAGTATCTGAAGCAGACATTAATAGAGTAAGTGAAAAACAGCACGTTCTAGCTGTTGCTTTTAAAGTTTTTAACTTAATGTTCTCGCATTTCCTATATGGGATCTTTTGCTCTTTTTTTTTTTTTTTTTTTTTTTTTCTTTTTCTTTTTTCTGAGTGTCATAAGCTAGGAAAATCATAAGCCTAATTGAAATTAGAAATTCTGTGCATGTATTTTGTGTTAGCAAAATCAACACTGCATCTTAAAGTGAGTGATGCTGCACTTGCCATGCAGTTGTCAGGGCCACACTCTGGGTCTGAGAAAAGGAGTGGCACTACTCATGTGTATTCTGTATGTGGGAAGAGAGGTCTCCTAGAATTAAGCTTTACTCCAATGTTACATCCATTTTGAGTGGAGAGGAAGTCCTGTGTTTGAGAATACTTGCTTTGGGCATGCAATGGACTTTACTCTGTGGTTACTGCTCTCGTTGGTGGCATGAACTTGGGAGATGGGGCCTAAAAAAACGAGGCAGACCAAAGTCTCGTGCAATAACCAACTTTATTTTAGAGCATCAGGTAATTTAAACTCTGAGGGTTAAAAAGAATCTCTCGAGTAAAGTGTACAACCAGAGACACGTGGAAAAATACTTTTTTTTTTTTTCCATAGAAGCATATGAATAGCACCAGCTGAACAAAGCTCTCTCTTACCTGCTACACCTGGGAGAGGCACAGAAACAGTCCATGAGTTTGAACAAACTGAGATCACAAGAGCCTTGTCTTATTTTCTTGTTTTCTCACAAGCACGGAGAATTCCCCTCATACTTCATTCTTGGACCATGTTCCGGCAATCCTGAAGATCAAAGAATGCTGAAACTAGGTGGCTTTTACAGAGAAATCTTAAGAGTTTTTTCTTGAAAAGTTCTGGTAGCAGAGAAGTCAAAGGTGAAGGAACTGGCTGATCTGTGTCTGGTGGAGCCTGGTCTCCTTGTTCCTGGTGTCCACTCACCATTTTCTCATATGTTAAAGGGACCGAGGCAGCTACTGTACTGTCTGGGGCTCTTAAAGGCGCCAGTGCAGTTTGTGACTCAGCTCCTCATGTCCCAGGCCCAGTACCTCACCTCCTCGTAATGGTCCCTGCACTTCAGCATTTGGAGTCTGTGAAGGGTGTATTCACATTATGGCAGTGTGGTTTGTTGGCATCGTCACCATCAATCACTATAGATCTGAAGCACCAGTTAAATCCCTCCTAGACTATAGGGTTCCTGAAGGCCAAGGAACGTACTGTTCACATGTTGAATCTAGTAGTTCTAACACAAGGGCTGCCACAGGTGTTAAATACACATTTACTCACATTGTTGGTGAACACTTAGTTTGCTTGGTTGTTTGAGCATCAAGCTTATGTATTCGGATATTATAATAATGACATATGAATTGGCATAGTAATTTTGGTGGCATTTCATTTTATCTAAGATTGTTAAGTACCTTTTAAGTGGTTACAATAATAGCTAACGGTTACTGTGTAGCAGACACTGTACAAGGAGCTCTATGGGGATCTGCTATACTATTGGCCTAGTTTGCTCCTAATAAAAATGCTTAGGAAATAGCCACTTCCACCATCAAAGAAATTGAGCCTTAGAAAGGTTAGCAGTATGCTGAGGACCCTGGAGATGGAAGGTCTGAGATTTCAATCCAGGATTCTAACTTTGTTCATGCTGTTTACCACTCTGCTGTAGGGCATTGGCTGTGACGTGGAAATGGGATGTGGAGACCAAAAAGAGTGAACATGAGCTTGCCTCCATGCTTCTGACATGCCTGTGCTCACATGTGAGCCCAGGAACTTCTCCTGAGTTGTCTTAGAGATCGCCCACATTCAGCTTCTGCTGACATCTTCCCCTGTTCATGTGTGTCCTCGCAGGAGCCAGCCAGCATGGGTTGAAGAAGTGTGGAAACCTAGGAGAAGCTGGTGGCCGGCCTTTCACTTCAGCCTCTTCTGGGCAAAGAGCGACTGGAAGGCAGACGCTGACTTGGCTTGTGAGAAAGCTTTTGTAGCTGGAATCCTTTTAGGAAAAGGTCTGTGGTTTTGTTCTCTGTTCATTTGGATGTAGCTTTTGACTGAGTCTGAAGCTTGAAAGTGTGCCGGTTCGTTCATCTTGTCCAGTCTGATGCCTAGGGGTTTTAGGTGCTTGAGAAGTAACTGGAATGAGAGTGTGAGCCCTGTGTGGGATTGTGATAAGCACTTATGTGGGATCCTGTGAACTGTGCCGTTAGCTTCCATGTCCTTACATGAGTTTGGGGCATAAAATGCACTGTGCAGAGCCTTGGGCCTTACTGTGCAGGTGTACTGAACTTGTGGACAGGGTCACAGAAACTACAAGGATGCTCTGAGTTGACCTCAGTGTTCGTCGCTAGCTTCATGTTGTATTCATTCCTGTCCTATGGACATCCCCCTGTCCTACCCCATCCCCAAGAGAAAGAATACCACCTATTAGCGGCCAGCCTTCTAAAAAGAGGAAACTGGTCTTTTATTATGGACTATTTTGACCAGTAAAATGCTTACCTGCTTTGCACCACTGAAACAGGAACAGTGGAACACACTGAAATAAAACTGCCAGAAAGTATGTGCAGAAATACAAAGGGAGTGCTTCAGTGAGCTCCCAGAGTTCCCCTTTGTTTGTGGTTTGTATCACTGTGCAGTGGGATCCTGAGGCCCACACCATGGGCAGTGCTAAGAGGGCATCTCTTGTGGAATGAGAATTGGTGTGTCCTATAGTTCCTAAGATTAGGAAGAGATTGATTTTATGAGAAAGGGGATTAATGAGAATAGAGGTGTAAAGTACCATTTCTAGTAACACACTAGTGATGGGACAGAAATGGGCTTGTCTGCAATGGTTCACTCTCTGAACCCTGGGTACAGACAGTACAGATGGCTCAGGGCGCGTATCGGAGCAGAGTCTGAAGGCCTGGGACATTTTCCAGTCTTCTTACTTGGCACTTAGGTCAAGCAGTGACCTTTGGTGGCCTCTGTGAAATGCACATTGTAAACATGGCTCTTTCCTTATTTGCTAACAGGATTGTAAATACCAAGTGAACATATCCTGGAGGGCTCTATGAATTCCCAAGTGTTCTAGAAGTGTGAGGCATAGTTTTGCTTGAGAATGGGTACCATTCATTGGTCTGGGTGGGTACTGGGAGTTTGCTTCTTGCTCTGATCACCACCATTACATCCTCTCATTCTGTCTTGGTCAGCTTCTGCTTTGTCTTAGAATGTGTATGACAGTTGTCCTTCTTCCCATGCTGTGTGAAAAGCAAGGCAGCCCCTTTTCTCTTTGGAGGAATCTTTCCTTATAGTTAGCAACACATCACCTTCCACCTTAAGCTCTCTTCAGGGCTATGCAGTTGTTGGTGTTAGGACAGAGAGAGAACTCTGGCTGTATTTAATTTGTACTATAAAGTAGTTTAAGAATACAAATAAGTACCTTATTTCCAGATACTTCGGAGGCTATGGTGGGAGGATTGTTTGAGGCCAGGAGTTATATGTAAACCTGGACCACACAGATAGATCCTGTCTCAAAAGAAACACCACAAATTATTTAAGTAACACTATGAATACTTATAGACCCTACCACTAGCATGCTGTCTTTAAGGATGGTAGATGGGTAATGGTGTATAACCTGGCATTCTCCTAGATAGATGTATGTCAGTTGAGGCTATAATAAAATTAATTTTTCATATGATTGTTTTGTTTAATACAAATAATCACTGGTAGGTCTGGTGGTACAGACCAATAATCCCAGGTACTTGGGAGGTTGAAACAGGACAATTGCAAGTTCAAAGCCTACTTGGATTACACAGTAACTTCAAGACCAGTCTGGATAGGTAACTCTGTGGGACCCTTTGTTTTAATGACTGTGGCAGGAACTGAAGAGATGGCTCAGTGGTTAACAAAGAAGCCAAATTAGGTTCACAGCACCCACATTGGGTGGCCAACAACTGCCTGGATTACAGCACTTTCTTCTGGCCTCTGCACCCACAAATAATGTGGTGTGCGCACATGCACACAAGTATGCATACGTAAAAACAAAAATGAATCCTTGAAATCAAAAGTAGAAGATGCTAGGGTTATATGGCTTAGTGATAGGACACTTGCCTAGCATGTGTAGGGCCTTAGGTTCAGTCCCTAGAACTGCATCCATTCATGGGTGGATGGGAGGATGGATGGACAAAAATCACATCATATCAAGCTTACATTTTTCTTTTAGAAATTGGCTTTTCTGAAACACTTGACAAGTGTCATCTTTGCATTGTGAGACTGAAGAGCAGGCAGACCGCAGGAGCACTAGGCACCTTGGTCAAAGTATCATCTCTATCCACTGCTTGCTAGAAGACTAGAAGGAACTGTGTTTGGTCATTTCTACTCTATAATGTGTTTATTCTAATCCTCCACATTCCTGCTTTCTACAGAGAACTTTCTTGCTGTGAGAGATGCCATTGTAGCTGTTTGACAAGCTGGCATTGAGAGGGTTGGGTAAATTAGCTTTTGGAAGTCTCCTTTAATAAGTTGGTATATAATATGCATATCACCATGTCTAGTGCTTAGGAAGGGTGGAAAAGGAGTTGAAGTGTTTGCTTTAATTGTGGGTGAGATGTGCCTTCGCAGGTAGCACTCACTGTCATTGGTGAGGCTTACACAGGATGCCTCTTACATGTACATTTTTGTTTTGTTTTTCCAGACAAGATTTCTCTGTATTGCTTTGGAACCTGTCCTGGAACTAGCTCTTGTAGACCAGGCTGGCCTCGAACTCACAGAGATCCACCTGCCTCTGCCCCCGGAGTGCTGGGATTAAAGGCATGGGCCACCACTACCCGGTTTACATGTGTGCTTTTAAAGGATGATTCTTACACTTGATTTTAGCTAGAAGGCTGAGAAGGGAATGTTTTTGTTTTTTAAACAAACAAACAAACAAAAAAAAAAAGGTGTGTGTTTAGTGGGAGAACATGGCTCTAGAATAATTACTTTTTACATAGTTGACACAAATGAGCAAGATTTAAAAATGGTGACGAATACTTAATTGATAAATATTAAAACTTTTTTTATTATGTTTTATTTTTTAGGTTGTAGATATTTTCGGTATATTTTAAAACAAGATCATGAAATCTTGAAGAAGAAAATTAAGCAGATGAAGAAGTCTGTGAAAAAATATAGTATTGTAAATCCAGGTGTTTGCACCTAGACTGTAAGTTGTTGTATAGCTGTCACTACAATGTTGTGGCTCGCGGTTATTGAATGTGTGTGTTGATGTTTAAGAAGGTTATTCACATTATTTTAAGTGTGTGTGTACACATGTGTGCTGTCAGCCATGTCATTCCTCAGGAGCCTTGCTTTCAGACAGCTCTCACTGAGTCCTGGGGCTCACCTGCTAGGTTGGCTGGCTAGTGTGTCCCAGGGACTCTTCTTACCTCTGGGATTATAGTTTCATTTTTTTAATTGATCCATTCATTTGTTTATGTGTTGTGTACACATGTGCGGATGACTTGGCATGAGTGTGGTGGAGAATAACTTAGAGGAGTTGGTTCTCTCCTTCCACTGTGTAGGTCTCGGATTGAGCTGTGGTTGTGAGAGTGACAAATGATCTTACTCACGAGATCACCTTGTCAGCCCTGTGCTCAGCTCATATCTTAGTGAGCTATTTTCCCAGACCTTCAATTTTTTTAAAATAATTTATTTATTTTTATTTTATGTGCATTGGTGTTTTGCCTGCATATATATCTATGCGAGGGTGTCAGATCCCCTGGAACTGGAGTTACAGACAGTTGTAAGCTGCCATGTGGGTGCTGGGAAGTGAAGCTGGGTCCTCTGGAAGAGCTATGCCATCTCTCTCTAGCCCCCTATGTTTGTATTTTTCATATTTCATTTTGCTCTTGGTTATAGTTAAGAAAATAATCTCATTGCCTTTGCTGTTTCTAAGTGTATATACCTACACTTTTCTTTTTTGTAATGTTACATGCACATTTGTAAAGGGTTATTTGTCGAGCGCTATCGCCTTGCCTGCAAGAACAATGCTCAATAACAGGATTCTTCTGCAGCTATGTTTATTGCACGGCTCATCACAGCAAGTTGAGGGAAGACCCCGAAGGAGGAAAAAGGCACTGCTTATATATGCTTTAGGGAGTCGTGTCCTAAACTGATAGGTGCAGCCCGCAACGCTCGTAACGGTCACCCCATGACGTGGATCATGCATGCTCATTGTCAAAAACAACCGTGCCTTGCTGGCTCATGGACAGGAAACCGGCGCCATCTTCGGGAATGGCACCGGTGGCTCTCTACATCTCCCCCTTTTTTGTTTTATAAACACAACAGGCAAAGGTAGTGGTCTGATCTCCAGTAATGAGATGGACATTGTAATGACCCTGAATCCTGGTAGTCAGCCAAGTACCATACCCATCCGGCATCTTTTCCCTGGAGGTGGGGCCTTGGCCACCAACCCATATGCAACCAGACTTGCCCTTCTTGGAGCTGCTCATGGCCAGAGTCAACCCGGAGTGCAGTGCTAAGCCAAACAACCTGAATGTGAAGAATTTATTACAGTAGGCTAAACTAAAGAAGCACCTGTCTGCGTGCAATGGGAAAAAACCCCGCAGAGCGTTAGGGCTGTTTCTGATAAAAAAAAAAAAATGGACACCCTAACCTGGTGCAATGTCATAGAAGACTTAGGGTGCAAGGGCTGTCCTATTGGACAATTAATGTCCATTTTTTAAACATGCTTAGCCACACAATGGGAGAGGAGCCTATCTCCATAGCAGCTAGGGCTTGAGCGATAACCACTTTGTCATGTGTCTGTTGAGCATGTAGCTTACACATCAACCAGAGCAGGAGCACCACCCCACCATATAACAGCAGGCCAAACCCCATTACACCTGCCCACTCCTTAAAATGGGAAAAAGCGGTGGAGATCCAGGAGAATGATCCTTCTGATAGAGAGGCGTCCACACAGGTGGAATTCACATGGACGATGGCCATTCGGAGTTGGTCCATCAGGCTATCAAATTCTCCTGTCCATTCACCTAAAAGATATGGAAAAAGTTGTTTAGAAAGGTTTGCAGCTCTTGTATAATTTTCATATTGTACACTGGTGACACCACATAAACTGGAATATTTCCATTGAAAGCCCAGTTGGGCTAGCTGCCAGAGTGTGTCAATTTGTTCCTGCACCAAATCAATTCTCTGATTGACTACCGTGAATTAATGGAGGCCTGTATATCAAGCGACTGAGCCACAACAGACGACAAATTATTCAAAGTATACGCTGTCTGTACTGATTGGCTCAGGGCCACAGCAGCAGTTGCGGCTCCAATCGCTGCAAGGGATATGACAGTCACAAGGGCTGCAGTGATGCCAAAATCCCGTTTTTGGCGGAACAGGGTTAAGGTATTGGGAGCCTCTACTGGAACTGGGATCCACCTGGGCATGCTAACAATCATTATCAAAGGGAAGAAAAGGCAAATCTAATCTCTCATTAGTTGTAAAAAGGCTTGGGAATACTCGTGCATCATGATGACTGGGCATGGGTTTAGGAAACACCGACAGTATTCCCCATCTGGGTTCCGCTGATATTCGCGGAGGATTCACAAGGAGTATCATCAACCACAGGAGCCACAGGAGCATCTTCTTGAGGGATGGTTGTCACTCTTCGAGATAATCGCCCTGATACCCAAATTGGATTTTCTCCGTCCTGTGGAAAAACACAAATAGCTCCCCTGGATCTTATTAAGATAGGATCTGGGTCTTTCCATGTACCTGAGAACACATCTTTACATTTGACTTGTTCTTTTGGAGGTATAGGCCAGAGGCCATGTCTATCACCCGCTGAATGACCATTAAAATCCAAATTTAAAAAATTTAAGGAGTGAAAAAGATATGGTAGCTTTTGGTGGGAGAGAGGGCATTTCCTCTATTCCCCCTTTTTGTTTTATTAGATTTGAGCATCCGATTGATGTGTTCCACAATGCCTTGCCCTTGTGGATTATAAGGTAGACCAGTGAGGTGTTTGACACCCATCTGTTGACAAAAATGCTTAAATTTTTCAGAAGTATATGCAGGTCCATTATCTGTCTTCAATATTTGAGGCATGCCCCAAGCACTCCAGGCTTTGAGGCAGTGCTGGATGACATGAGAGGCTTTTTCCCCTGTTAGTGGGGAGGCATGGATAATACCCGAGCAGCTATCCACAGAAACATGTAAATATTTCATTTTTCCAAAAGATAACACATGAGTGACATCCATTTGCCATATTTGTAGAGGCCGAAGGCCTCGTGGGTTAATGCCCACATGAGGTGCTGGAAGAAATTCAGAACAATTTTTGCATTGCAAGACTATTTCCCGTGCTGATGCTCTGGAAATAGAAAACGCTTGCACAGGGTTTCTGATGTTACATGAAATAATGAATGAAATTTAGTGGCTGCTTCTATAGGATCTAAAATAGCAAAAGCTGCTGCTCGAGTGGCCAAATCTGCCAGATTATTCCCTTGTGCCATTGGCCCGGGCAGACCTGAATGGGCACGGATGTGGGTAATGAAAACAGGATATTGTCTTTCTAATAAACATTTTTGGATCTCCTTAAACATCTCAGCCACTGTACTAGAAGGCTTAATTAATCCAGCTAATTCTAAGGTTTTAACAGCATTGACTACATAAACAGTCAGAGACCACATTCAAAGGTCCAGGAAACACCTTTAATACCTCCAAAACTATGTTACATTCCACCATTTGTGGGGAGTCTGGTGCATATCTGTGAGTGGTAACAACTCCTTCATGTACATAAGCATCTATTCCTGTTTTTGATCCATCTGTATACACTTATCTCCCCATCAGGGAGAGGCGTGGCACTTACCATTTTTGGAAAAATCAAAGGATGTGTTCTAGCAAATGTTAATAAAGGATGTTTGGGATAATGGTTATCAAAAGTTCCCAAGAAGGTAGAGGCAAGAATCGCCCAATCATCACTCATAGCACATAGGGTCTGGATTTGTTCCATATTATAAGGCATAATAATTTGCTGAAGAAACACCCCAAAATGGGTAAGAGCCATTTTTAAGCCCTTCAGGGCAATTTTTGCAACAGCAGTTGGATAATATTGCTCAAACAATGGAATAGAGAAAAAACAATCTTTAATATCTATTATAATAACTTTCCAATGCTGATAAAAGTGGAAGGCCCCGTTGGACTGGGCCAAACAGTTGCATTTGTGCATTAATGGCTCTGAGGTCATGAAGCAATCTCCATTTTCCAGATTTCTTCTTGATAACAAAAATAGGAGTATTCCAAGGAGAGTTGGATCCTTCCAAATGTCCCAAATCGAATTGCTCTTTTATTGATAAGTGGCCTCTAATTTCTCCTGTGAAAGTGGCCATTGAGGTACCCATATTGCCGCTTCAGTTATCCATGGTATGGGCATTCCTTCCCCAACGGCCCCTAGGAAAACCCCAATCCTGCATGATCATTTTTTGAAATGACTTGAACAGGTTCTTTAATGCCTTGATACTGCTTTCCTATCCCTAGCCCTGGTATATATCCCTTATCTAACATATTTTGTGCAGAGATGGAATATTCATTCATTAATTTTAATCCTAAAGCTTTTAAAATATCTCTTCCCCATAGATTTACCAGCAAGGGAAGAACATAGGGGGTAAACAACCCTAACTGACCTTCTGGTGCCTTCCATCTTAGGGATTTAGAGCTGATAGCAGGAATGGCTTCATACCCTAGTCCCTGCAATGAATGTTCTGATTGGGTTATTGGCCATTTTGAAGGACACCAGGAGGTGGCAATGATGCTTTTATCAGCTTCTGTGTCCAAAATTCCCTGAAAACTCTTTCCTTCTATATTTAATGTTAATGTTGGTCTGGTATCAAGATCAACTGCAAGATAAGCAGAATCAAATTTATCTGAGTGGCCAAATCCTTCTGCCCCTCTGTTTTGTTTAATGGCCCCAAAATCCTCATGACAACTAGGAAGAATAAGTAACTGTGCTATGCGATCACCCGCGGAGATGGGAAAATCCCGCGTGGTGATGAGCACATGATCTTGAGTTGTCCCTCATAATCTTGATCTATAACTCCAGGATGGACAATTAAACCTTTTAGGGTGGTAGATGACCTTCCTAGTAATAGTCCTACTGTGTTTTTTGGCAGAGGGCCTGAAAAATCAGAAGGAACGGGTTGTACACCCATTTGGGGG